GATGGATGGATCCATAAATGGATGGATGGATTGGTAGATGGATGGATCCATAAATGGATGGATGGATAGCTGGATTGATTAATAAATGGATGGCATTCAGAAACTCTCTAAACATATCACACTAAAAGCCAGAAGGCAGAAGACAAATAATTTACACCTGTAAAATATCTCATTTATTTATTTAAAAAAAAAGAAAACCATTTTAATTTCTTCTTTTTCCAGAAATCTTACTGCATCCTGGTACACTGTGTAAAATAAGACATTGTGTAAGCACAAAACATTCCCAAACAGAAAACCACAAATAAAAATGTGATGCAATCAACAGCGCTCAACATGAAATACACTATATGTTATTTTTTAAACTCTAGTTTTATATTTTGGAGGAAATACTTTTTTACGTCTTCCTCATTACCCATAGAAAACAATCCAAGTAGTAGAACATGACAAAATGGTCATCGCAGTCGTATTTTTACGTAAATGATAAATTCCTACCGTCTTGCAACAAAAGTGCGCTGTGATGCTACAAGTCATTTAGAAATATAGCTCAATATTTAAAGCAATACTTTCAGTGACGCACTTTACTTCTAAGTTTACCATTTTCTTACAATCATAATTATAACCTTTTTAATAAAACTGTACATAGTGAACTGACTGCACTGGAAATGGTTTCACTTGGAGAAAATATTAAAACAAACTAGGAGGATCTCTTGAAATGAAAGTGCCACCTCATAATATAATTAAGTTGTGTTTATGTACATTATACACACTCTGAACAGGTTACGTATTGCACAGGAAAAAAGGGTACTTTATCTATTAGCTACATAAAGGTTTGTGACAATATGGCTTTGTAAATAGACATTGCATTAAATGTCAAGTGCAGGCTTCATAAAAAGCAAGTTGTATAACTATTGTAGCAACTCACTCACCTCTAAAATGTTATATAACTTTAATTCTAAGTTTAACTGCAATAAGTCTTACATTTTTGGATATAAAGACACTCCTAGACACTGAAACCTAGAAACTGCAAGGTGCCTAAAGACAGATTTCTATTGACTGCATAGGCCATACTATAAAGCACAAGTTATAGTCTATTTGCTTAGCAGCGTTTTAAGGGAGCGTGTGAGTGCATTAGCAATGGCTGACATTGTACTGGAGTGGCGGACCAGGGCTTTCACACTGTGCTCCCCTGGTGCTCCTACGGTGGCAGCTTCAGCAGCCTTCAGCAAACAAATATAGTTCATAACAACTTCGTCAACCTTTGCGACAACCTCTCTTTGTTGGTGTGTGGCTGAGGCTCCGAGTCCCCTAACCAGACACATGCAAGCTTCACACAAACAGCATAGCACCTGAAAGCTACATGTTACAGCTAGGAGCATTTCATCTGGACTACTGTGGGCTTGTGCCATTCTTCGGCAAGCCCGGCCTAACTCTTTTGACTCAACAGACAGAAGCTGCTTGTACTGAGACACATCCTGTATAGGCATCTGAATTCCCCGATCACATCGGCCTATGCTGGATCTCACCAGTGCAATGAGCTCACTAGCATCACGGCGGACATCATTGAAGCCAGAAGGAAAGGTATACATGTGGTCCTTGAGAGCGTTGATTCGTGCCAGACGGTCACTAAAGCTCATGTTGTTGAGGACCTCTCCATACAGTTGCTCCCCTGCAGCATCTATTACTGAACCACAGGGGGACGCAGATGACGTAACTGTAACATTGTTGTCAAAACTGACCCCGCCACGAATTCTTCTGGGTCTCTCCCACTCAGTATCATCCTCTTCACCTTCACTCTTACGTTTAAAGAAACAGTAGCTAAAGGGCCCATTGCATCTCCAAGGACTAGTGTCCAGTTTTTGAGAGCCCTTCATGTGTTTTGAGTCTTTCTGTAATGGAAATGCAACAGATGCTCTTCTACTGTCTACCCTACTGCCTGTAGACCAGCATGTGGTGTGAGAAGATACAGATCCTTGGGAGTAGCTCTTGGACAGACGTTTCCTTGTTGGTCTCCGTTGAACTTTTGTATCACCTTGCTGGGACATAGGTACTGACAAGGGCTGCTGGCTCCGGCTACGTGTGGGCTTGTCAAACAAAACTTCCACACTTCCGGAACTGGGAGTCACATTGCTTGAACTGCGCTTGAGCTCCCTGCCTCGTTGCATGCTACTGCTGAAGGAATCCATTTGTGACAGGGTTGGCATCACAGTCTGAATGTGGTTCTGTCGAAACTGGCTTGAATTAAGGGGATCTTGCAGGCATACCGAGTTACTGGAGATAGAGTTTGCTTGTGAGGGGAGAGGTGGAGGAGGTGGTGGGGGTGGTGGTGGTGGATATTGTGCATTAGGTCCAGGAGATGAAACATTAGCTCTAATGCTATTAGATGACTGCCTGACAAAAGCTGATGGATGATCTCCCCTCCCTAGTGACATGGCACTGAGGTCTGCACGTTGGCCACTCAAACTGGGAGCAGCAGAGATACAAAAGGAATCATTCGGACAAAGGTGAGTTTGATGCACTGACCTCAGATCTGATTTGAACCAGTCTTCTGTGCTGCTACTTGGTTGGCTTCTTGACCGCGGTGGGGGTCGATTATTGGTACCTTCAAAGTTTTGACTTGAATTGAATGCCCCGTCTCTGGTATTGCAATCCTGTTTTTTATAGAGTGAAAGAAAATGCTCTGGATCCATGCCACTTCCACCAAGTTCATTTTCCAGACCAGAAAATGAGCTCCTCCTCTCAGAGGTTGCTTTTCTAAAATCTAAACCCTCGTTCCGTCGCTGAGCATGCATATCAGGACTTCTCTTGAGTTTAGCTGGAAGTGTGGCTGAATGGTATGACTGTGGATTTTTTGTTGCTACCTGCAAGGTGGTTGAGTGAGGAGTTACTATATTAGGGCTGACAAATGGGGATGATGTAGTCGAAGGCGTACATTGACAGCGAGCGGTGGCATTTCCCCTATTTTTAACCATTTCAACAAGCTGAGGGTTGCTGGTGATAAAACGTCTGGTGTCTTTTTTCACTGCCCCTCCCATTCCAGCACTGTGGAGCTTTCCTCCCTGATGCATCTGGCTGACTGTTAAATAGTTAATCAGTTGTTTGTAGGCCTCGCTCCCTTCCTTTGGATTAAGTCCCTTAAAGCAGGCCTGTTTTGCATGAATGTCATTGTGTAGCTTCTTATTTCCTATGCCTGCCATGTCTTTATGCTTAGATGGAGTAGATGAGGAGGGTCGGTTTGATTCCATACCAGCAAGAGGAGGATGAATGTTGGGAAGCATTTTTCGAAGTAGGGCAGGGTCTGCATGTGGATGGGGGTCTTTGCCTTGAGTGCTCTGTCCAGGGAATCCAAGTGGGATTCCAGGTTTATCTTCACAGTTTACCGCTCTTAGTAGTGAGGAAGAAGAGCTTGAAAGTGGGTGCTTTTGCAAACGGGGATGTTTGGACTGAACTGCACCAGGACCGAGAGGAGAGTCAGTTGGTGTGGCACACGCACTACTGTTGGTGCTTCCACCAGCATCCAGCGACGAGCACAGAGAGCCTTGCAGAGAACTGTGGGCTTCTCCTTGCAAATTTGAAATCCTTTTTGCTAAATGGTACTCACACAACCGCGCAACACTCTGTTGTCTTGAAATTGTCTGATGGTCACTTTGTGTGTCGGATCCTTGGTCAGACGATCTGGATTTTCGGGATGGGGAAAGCAGCGACGCTACAACTAAATGTTCATCCTGCTCGGCAGCTGTAGCACCATTGTCCGAGGCACAATCCCCCATGTTGCCCACATCTGAGAAGTGATCAGAAACAATGGAAGAAGGGCGTAAATTTCTGCAGTGTTCACGAGGAAGGCTGTTCACGCCCATGCTCTCAGCTGCAGAACATTCAGCCATAAAAGAGTTCTGTCTCCCTTGGTTCTCATCTTGCTCAGAGAATGCAGAACGCTGGTTCAAGTCAAGATAGTTTCGTCTGCTACTACTCTCACCTCGGTGTACTTCCCTTGTGCTAAAGGTGTTGTACTTTCCACTGGAATCTGCAGACTTTTTATGATGCTTGAGTCCTAGCGTGGTAGAACTTGGACGCTGGAGGGTAAGTGAAAGACTAGTCTGGGGTTTCACCTCCAATCTATCTTGCCCTGAGAGCGTTGCGTCTAACTGTGGGCTCTTTCTTGGCGGTACTGCTGGAGGATGAAGACTTCTTGTCGGGCTATGGTTTTTTTTATTTGTTGCGTTACACGAATTGGGTGAGACTGGAAACTCAGTTTTCTCCTCAAGTAGTGGCTGATATCCTTCCCTTGTGGCCACCAATAAACGCATGTGGCTTTCGTTTAGTCTGTGAGTAGCGGCTAGTTCACAAATTTCGGTCATCTCCGAAGAGTTGGTCTCGTTGCCAGAATCTGAGGATGATGCTGGGCTAAAACCTTGAGATGTGTAAACACCTAGAGACAAGATAAATACAGGTAAAATCAACAATTTAACACATTTTACTGATTTTCAAACATAAAGCAGGGTAGCAAATGAGGTTTGATACTGATTTTTGGCAGCACCAATCGACAGAGTTTCACACGGCGTCACTACAGACACACAGACAGACTTGCTAACATTCACAACACTGAGTTGGCTGATGTCACTACTATTAACCCAACTCAACATTGTTTTTGTTGTTCTGATTTTTTTCAGAGCTCAAAACTGCAACCGTTTAACCACATTTTACAACACTGGTAGGACATTAATGTAAGTGCTATACGTTGGTCAGCAGTATTTTTAAGGTAGGGGTCAGCAAATAAGTATGCAGCAGAGACTAAAAAGACAATAACTGACAAAACATCAAACATCATAAAAACAAGGACATGTAAGGGTCACTTTCAGTTATTTGAAATAAATTGATTGTAAGTACATTTTGACTTTACCAGCCAATGTGCGTGCAGGTCAACAGTCAAGCTGCTCAACGTAATTTTATTCCATATTTACAACTTTTTTTTGGTTTAATTCTATAACCAATCTGAGCTAGTTCGTCTTGTCTGTTTGGAACTAACGTGTTATTTTATAAGAATGTAGACAAAATGACAAAAATATACAAGCGCTTATTGAGATGTGTTTTTCTGGGCTGGAATTGAAATGCAAGTAAACCTTAATGTTTTTGGTTGAAGATATTCAAGTGGGTAGGAGTTACACTGCGTAGAAGAACAGAGGCCACCACAATCATTTGAGGAAACTATACTTTTAAGCATTATAAAAACTACAAAGCATGGTTTCCTCAAATGATTGGGGTGGTCAGTTTACAAATATGAATGATACATTAGTCCCTCATTTATCGCGGGGGTGTGGTCCCTAACCCCCGCGATAAGTGAAAAATCACGAAGTAGGGATACAGTAGTCCAAGTTCAAGTAAACATTATTGTCATTACCATCTCATGTGGTACATGAGATGGAACGAAATGACACAAGTAGTAGTAATAGTAGTAGTAGTTTATTTTAGTATTTATATACAGGTATATATTAAGGCATTTTAAACCTTGTCCACACTCTTGCAATGTCCCTAACAATTTTCTAAACGCTCTAAAAGAGCACAGCAGGTCATGATCTCAGCTCTCTGCCACCTGCTAGTACTCTCAGCCACGCCCACTTCTCCGTTGTAGAGCGGAGGTCTGACGTGTAGCAGGAGGAAGCTTCTCCTGCAGCTGTGGGCTGCACACAGGTGCAGTAGGTGCTAAATAATTTACTTTTCTGTTTATAGTATAAAAATAGTATGGAGTATTTTCCTTGGTATCAGTATCAGTTCTCGTCTTGTGGGGAGAGGAGTGATTAGAAATGACAAAGTTAGTTATACACGCTTATTTAAATCACATAGATCACATTTTCTGCTTTGATTAAACTGACCTGTATTGTTTCGGTTGGGAGGCGGTGGAGGGGGTCTTTGTTCCGAAACAGAGAGATCCTCCAGTGCTTGTAGAGTATTCATGACGGCATTCTCCAGTCTTCTTTCGCCACCTCTGCTCCCTTCTCCCTCCCCATGTGTCGGAACAGCATCAATTAATGACACCGGCATATCGTCATTATCGCGTGTGCTCAGAGGCCGTCCCTCTGGAGCCGTGTCCTCCTCTGCACTGTCCTGAAAGTCCGGCGGTGGAGCAGCAATCGCAAGGTTTAACGTCTGCAGAAGGGTGTCGTCCTCATCATCGTCAACGCCGTCGTCTCCTTCCGGAGGGGGCAACGACGTCAGGTCGATGATATCGTCAGTGGAACCGGACATCGTCAGAAAAGTAGCTTTGCCTCTTTGGTTGTCGCAGTCTGCATCACGTCCTTGTGCGTTATCGCTCACCGGTGTCCCTCCCGTGGAGTCTTCTTCACAGGACGCTTCATCGTCGTCCTCTGCATCGTCCGTTGTATCAGGATCAAACAGATCTCTAAGCAGTGGTTCCTCACCCCCTTCCTCAGTAATGATGTTGCTGTAGACATGCGTAAGATCGAACTGGAAGGGGTCTGATGACTCAGGGCTCTCTGGCACTATGTCATAGTTTTTCGGTCTGTTCAGGGGTGGGTTTCCCCCAAAAATAAATGACACTTTGGCGCTCCGAGGCGAGTCCTGAGTTTTGTGTCTAGTAGAAGGGGGAAGTGGAGGTGGTACAGGACTTCTCCTCATCCCAAGGTCACTTTCCAGATTTGGGGCTTTAGGAAAATATGGACTGATGCTGTTTTCCCTCTGCCCATTGTTTGAACTGTCTCGGTCGTAGACCTCGCACTGCGTCGGCTCCTCGTTGTTCCCCATGGAGGTGCTGTACGGCCACTCCAGGACACGATCCTGACCTGAAGACAGCACCAGGAAAGCGTGAAAAGTGTTTCATATTTAAGTTTGATAAAAAAAATAAAATTTAAAGCAACTGCTCTATATTCACAAGACTGAGTGCTTTGCTTTAAGATTGTGTACTTCACAATGAAACATCAATTTTTAAGTTTTCAATCTGTTCTTTCTGTATGAAAGCAAGTTTTATACGAAGTATCATGTCAAAGCCACTAAAACTGCTCAAAACACATTTTTTAACAATGTATCTCACCAGCATCATCCTCTCCTGTGCTATTGCTGTGGGCCACGTTGAAAATAGATCTCCGTGAGTCCACTAGGAGGCGATAGTAGCCCGCTGTTAGACAGGCAAGGTTCATCGCATCACTTGCCTCCATGATCAGTGTAATGGGCTGACAAAGCAAAGGGGAAAGAAGTGAAGCATGAGCTGACTTTAATTAAAAAAAAAGGAAAAACAAAGAAAAACGTGTGTTTTCAGGCTTACTCTGACGTCCAGAACATGAAGTTCCAGCCGGACGCTGGTCTCGTCCTCGGTGAGGATTTCGATGCGGTTGACGTGGCTGAAGTCGGCCAACAGGGCCACGAGGTTGGTCCGGGCGTTGATGACGTGACTTATCCCGTATCGCGGGCCCACCAGCAGCATCACCTCAGTCTGTTTCTCACATTGCTACAACAAAAAGTCCATCAAAGAGTTGAACTTTTCTTCCTTTACACACTTTTCATTGACGACGTTGAGGAACCGACGTCTTACCAACAGTATTGACGTGAACTCTCTTCCTCCGTATAGTTTGAGCTCACTGATGTACCTCAGGTAGTGCACCTTGGCCTGCAACGCAGTCAGCTGTGCAGAAAAACGTGCGCAGTTATTCAGAAACGGAAGCCTGAGGAGAAGCATTAGAAGCTTGCAGTACCAGCATGTAAAGCACTCTCAAGCCATTCTGATGTGGACCAGTGATTTTCCATTAAAATCTCGTCATATCATTTCAGGTCCAATCCACTGCAGCTCTCTTTAAAGCTCACTTGCAGATAATTGTTGTTCTCCAGGGGTTAGCACTTTTGTATTGGACTTCAAACTACCAACCTCTCTATAAACCATGGTAAACTGAACTCATTTATTGCTAATTTTTCAATGCAAGCATGCAAAATGTTCTTTTATTACAGTGACAATGTTTTGGTGGGTTGATGCTCATCAAAATTCTTAAATCTGCTGTGGGAGGAGCTAGATCAAATCAGCCGTACAGCGCAACAAAGTTGGTTCCCCGTGAATAATGTTGTAAACCTTCATGTTTAGCGCATGCTTTGTGGCTCGCAGAAAATAACGTGTTGTTACTGTGAAAGTGTATTAACTGTCATGCACCTCAAACATGCAAAGACACTCCACAAGATGTTTTTGAGCTATGTTTTTATTATTTTGTATCGACGTCATCAAGACCTCAATTTGAACATTTGGTGTCATAAACATGAAATATGAATATTCTTAACCATTCAGCTTCTCTCCACTGGCTCCCTGTCAGTTTCAGAATAGAATTCAAACTCTTATAACCTACAAAGCACTCAACAACCTAGCTCCATCTTCTTTTAGAGATCTTATTGTTCCATGTTTTCCTAACAGACCACTTTGCTCTCAGACTGCAGGTTTACTCGTGGTTCCTAGAGTTTCCAAAAGCAGAATGGGAGGAAGATATTTCAGTTATCAGGCTCCTCTATTGCGGAACCAACTTCCAGTTTCTGTCCATGAGGCGGACACATTGTCCAGTTTAAGACTGGGCTTGAGTCTTTCCTTCTTGATAAATCCTATAGTTAGGGTTGGCTGGGTTTCCTGACCTATCCCTTATACTATACTGCTATAGGCTTGGACTGCTAAAGAACAAATTGACCTCGTTTCATCAAATGAATAGTTTGTATTTGTAATTACTTCTTCCCTAACACGTTTTTTTTTGTCTTTCCTCCTAGAGAGGGACCTGCTCGCCTCCATTCTGGACCTGCCATTGTGTGTCCGTTTCTCCTTCCTGTTCCTCTCAAACCAGCCAGTCGAAGCAGATGGTCGCTTTTCTGAGCCTGGTTCTGCTAAAGGTTTCTTCCTCATTAGGGAGTTTTTCCTTTCCACTGTCGCCTTCGTGCTTGCACATTAAAATCCCGTCATCTTAACTATGGTACAACAATGCCGCAATCTACAGCGATAGCACATACGCGCAAAGACCTTGTTTAACCTTTGACCTTGATTTGGGACCTTAATCTTGGAGCGGAGCTGATAAAAAAGTGTGTCCGTCTAGTGATGATGCATATGTGTATGAAGTTTCATTAAATTATGGGCGAGACAAAAAAAAGTTTACAGACGTACGAACGAAGACAATACAATATGTCCGCCTTCGATGGAGGTACAAGGACAATCAAAAGATGCTCCTTTCAGATTCTTTCTGCTAACCACAACATCCTTGTGCTTCTTCTAACTTATTTCTGCTCATTTCAGCTTGTTATGCTCCTTTCAGCGTGTTCCTGCAAGTTTCAGTTATTTCGGCTAATATTTAGCTGTTTTATGCTAATTTTAGCTTTTTCAGCTAATTCCACATTTTTTTCGCCCCTCATTTCGACATTTTGAAGCCCAGTTCAGAAAAAAATGTGCTCTCTCCACTTTCTTCTAGTAATTTAAGCTTCTTTCTGCTTTTTAGCTACGTTTCATCAGTTTTTTTTTTTTTACTCAGCTGTTTTCAGATAAATTCAAGTTTTTCATGGTAATTTCTGCTACTTTCAGCCTAATCAACTTATTTCTGCTAATTTCAGCTTGTTGTGCTCCTTTCAGCCTTTTTTCTGTTAGTTTCAGCTTTTTCCTGCTATTTCAGCTACTATTAAGCTGTTTTTAAGCCTTTTCAGCTACTCCCATATTTTTGGAGATCATTTCAGCTGTTTTTGCTTCCTTCTGGTAGTTTAAGCTTGTTTATGCCTTTTCAGCTATCTTTCAGCTATTATGTGCTAAATTCATCATTTCTTTTTACCTAATTTCCTAATTTTTGTGCTAATTTCTTCTTATTTAAACCTAAATCAGCAAATATGTATTATTTCTGCTTTCTTCTGCTAACGTAGGCTTGCTCTTCCATTTCAGCTACATTTCAGCACGTTTTTAGCTAATTTCAGCCGTTGTTCAGCAAGTTCTTCAGCAATAGGCATTCACACTGCATTTTCGCAGGAAATGCACTTTCTCTAGTTTAATATTTGTTTCTTCATTTTACAAGTAACATCCGCTAATTTCAAATTGAAACTTGTGTTCCATGTGTGGCCGAAATTTTTCTTAAATCGAACACAGATTAAATTGTAAGTTTGGCTGATCATTTAGTGGAAGCTTTTGTTTGTCGGAACTTGTCAAAGTCAGGAACAGCGTTATGAAGGAGACCATCTGGAGCCAGAGTCATTAAAACGGTTTTACAGGGAGCGGAAAGGTTCAGTCTGACTGGGATGACCTGACCCTCATCCGGACATGTGTGTGTGAATATGAATACCTCATTATGCATGCGCTATGACAATGCTCATAGCTTCTAATTCACATTAGCAGTCAAGGTCTGGCTTGGCAAAGGGTCTTAGGTTGACGTGGGTGAGAACCTTAAGAGCTATTTCGGGATGTTGCAATCAGACAATGTTTGTGTGTTGGAAGTTTATTAAGAAGGGCAAAGGAAAGTGGTTACTTTTTTCCCCGGAGGCACAAGGTTCTGGTTGGTTTTGAGGATGTGCGTCAGAGCCTTCTTGATGTTTTTCTCCTTCATGCTGGACAGCACAGTCGGAGGCAGGAACAGCGACAGACCCCACTCCTTCCTGTTGAGAGGACATTGATTTTAGAGCGATGTCGTCTGACGAGGGTTAAATGCTTGCAGTAGAATGCCAAAAGATGGTTGACAAGTGGCTATAGCTAAAGTGACCAAAGGACGGCCTTTCTGCTGAAAGTCGGCCGCCGTTTCACATCCCAGATCTTGCAAATCGCCAACTTACTGGATGTATTTGAGCGAGACCTTCTGACTCTGTCTGGTGGCCATGGAGATGATGTACATCTGCAGGGCGGCCAATCGCAGCGCGGCGTCGTACTTCAGCTCCGGGCCGAAGCGCTCCAAAACCACGTCGTTGCAACACTGCGGCAAAGCAGGAAGTTACAGGGGAACGTGAAACGGGTTTCCTGACTCTACTGAGCAATCAAAGCAACAGTGGTTCCCAGTTAATAAATGTTTTCTTCCCTCTTCATCCCTTGCGAATTCAGATCACTTCAAAGTTTACAATCTTAGACGAAAGATGAAAAGCGAACCCTAACAAGAAAGGACGATTCTCCTTCCTTCTGTTAGGCTATTCTACTAAAGGAACTACTGATGGAGATTCTTTGGGGAATCATTTGATCGTTTTACAGAAGGAGACTTCTTGTTTCAGTTTTTACAGCCACTTCTACTTACTTGTACGTAGAGGTATTCAAACGCCACGGGGTCCCTTCGGAGCAGCTCCACGGGGTCTCTGGGCATGAAGCTGATTCGGAAAAAACACTTCATCTTGTTGGAGCCAGGCCTCTGGGTCACCTGGGTTTAACAGAATGGACGAGTACCAGCAAACAGCACATTAAACACCCGTCGTCTTAACTATTATACAACAATACCGCAATCTACAGCAATAGCACCAACGAGCAAAGACCTTGTTTAAACTTTGACCTCGATTTGGGACCTTAACCTTGCAGCTGAGATGATAAAAAAGTGTGTGATGATGCATATGTGTATGAAGTTTCATTTAATTATGTTATGGGCAGTGGTGTAGTCTACATTTTTGTAGTGGGTATACTGTGGTAAAGTTAGTTTTACGTTGGACACTGTTGAAGCCACCGCTGAAGCCACGGAGCGCGAATGTCCAACGTAAAACTAACTTTACCGCGGTCGGTCCGTATACCGTGCTTAGAAACCAAAGTACACTGGTAAAGCGCTGCATACCAATAGATTGCTACAGAGGCATTTAAATGTTGTTCAACATATGAACGGCACATATCTACGATATATCATGTATCATTGGGCACTTTTAAGTGGATATACTGAAATTCTTAAGCTTTTCTAGTGGGTATACTCTGTATGCTCGCGTATCACGTAGACTACACCACTTGTTATGGGCGAGACAAAAGAAAGTTTATAGACGTACGAAAGAAGATGATACCATGATATTTACGCCTTCGATGGAGGTATAAAAAGGACAATTAAAAATATGCTGATCATGAATAAAACAGGTTCATGGGTCACTCCTGGAAGGGTTAGAGTTAGGACTCTTGTGAACTTATGTTTGAACGGACGATCTTGGAGATGTTTATGAATGCCTTGCAGAGACCAGTATAATTGCACATGCCCTACGAGTGCAACGTTCCACTAAGTCCTGTCTGCCTGCCAACATGCGTTGCTGCAGGCATGCTTACTTTGACAAACGTGCAAAAATCACCCATTTGCTTCGTTCCGGCTCATTTTCTGAGTCTACTACCCCGTTCAAACAGCCTTAACAGAAATCAGCCGGTTATTAGCATAGACAGAAACTTGCGCCATCAGAAACCGAATTCGAATTGCTCAGACTGAATCTGTATTGGCGCAATTTTAAATTAAATCCAATGGTTTGGAAACGAATTTCACTAAATTGAAACTGAATTGATTTGCTTTGAAACTGTATTTCGTTGTATTGACAATTCAGTCTGACTACTTTCATTTTCAGTTCTACAATTCAGTTGTTTGTGTCACACCTTCGGGTCCTTGAGAAAGCCACAGAGTAATCGAACGCAGATTGACAGATTTACGTTTCACGTCTGCGAAACTTCTTTTACAGAAATGTAGGCATGAGGTTCAGTTTCAAGGAGGCGGTGATGCAACAGAGCGGATGCAATCCGCCGTAGAACACCAAAGAAGAAGAACTTCCTTTAGGGCGTATTTTGAGCTGGAGCAGTGGCGCACACATGAACTTGGCATGAACTCATGTTCCAAGTCATGAACTCAGCCTTTTATCTTCTCTTACATTTGTCCGGACTTCATTTAATTTTTGGAAATGTAATAAACTGTAAACGCTCAGAGTGACGTCGTCTGAATTACATGTTCCCCACTGACAACGTTTAACCACGTTTCTGATGATTTTTCACGAAATCCCTCTCACTGCAAAGTGTTTGTAATGCAAAACCCTGACAATGTGGTCGGAGGAAAAGGAGGTACAGCTCCTTCCTGTAAGGGGCGTTTCACTTCGAGACAAATTGTGATCACCGACTGGTCAATTGCTGACAAGCTTACTGGATTGATTGACAGGTGGTGTCGAGGATTCGACTCGTGCCAGAAAAAAATAATAGATTTTACTGGCGCATTTAAGAGCGCCATCATTTATTCCATGTTTATTTCTAATTTATTCAATATTTTTGGTGAATACAAAGTTTGCGAACTAAGCTTCCTTACAAATATCGTAATGATGGTTTCTTTATTTTTCAAAGGTGCCGAGTTAAAATTTAGGAGAGCTTGAGCACCCCTAAAAAACGAGGCTAAAATTGTCACTGGTTTCTAAACGGGCAAACAAGGACTGTTGATCTGCTAGAATGCTCCATGAGACACATTACCTCCAAAGCCCAGTTCCCTCAGTTCAAAAACATTTCAAGACTGTTGATTAAAAATGGGGATGTTAAGGCAGTGCACTGGCTGCACTGGTTCAAAGACACGCTGTCCAAGATCAAAGCCAACCTGGACCCCGCATGTAATCATTGTAAACAAACTCCAGCTACACTCCTGCATAGATTATGGACCTGTCCCAAACTGCAGACCTTTTGGCAATCTACTTTTGACAACTTCTCTGGGAAATGTGGAAAAACTGTACACCCATCACCACTCATCTCACTGTTCGGGGTGGTCCCTGTGGATATGTCCTTCAGTAAGTACGAGACGGATGTGATTGCTTTTGGCCAGGAGACTTGTTTTGTGCGTACATTGGATAAGAGAGGGGATGTATCATATTTATCTAGAAAAAATAAGATACACCCTGAAGGGTGTATCTTCAGGGTGTATCTTACCCCTGGGTGTATCTTATCTTAATGGGATTTTCTCTGCAAAAAATCCCGTTTTAGGAGCTCAGATATCTGTATAAGAGAAAAGAACCTCTCGCTGCTCTGTCCGTCGTACGTGCCACATGCACAGCTTCACATCTGAACTGTGTGGGATGAATATTAAAAATGTCCTCTTGTGATCTGGGAACCTTATCACGACGTCGCTGTGGATCAGCATGCGCGTGTGCTGCTTGTGCGACGGTGTGTGCGCGCGTAAAGAAAGGGTGTAATGCGAACTGTCCCCCCCCATTCTGAGCCGATGTTGATAAATGATATTGGGGTCTAAAGTGCTGCTTGAATACTGAGTGGGAAAGTGAGTGGATGTAAAAAAAAAAAAAGGAGGGAGAAAGGAAAGGTCCCCACCTGAGTAAGCATCTCCTGTTCATGTAGGAGAAGCAGTTTGCTTCCAGAGCCTTCAGTCTTCTCCTCCAACACCAGGGAGAAGTGCTCGATGCAGCGGATCGACAGTTTCTCCTGCAGGGTCAGGATCACCTCCTAAAGTTAGAAAATAACACAATCAAATAATGTTTAACACATTTTTGTATTTTGAAATGTTGAAACTTTGCTTCATTTTGTACAATATAAGCACAAAATAAAACATAAAAAATAGTGTCTATAACTTAGTTTTACAGATATCAGCCCACAGTTTGGTGTGGTAGTAGCAGAGAATAGTCACAAGAACACTATAAATGCTAACAGCTAACATGCTAATGTTTGGAAAACTTAGCATTAGCATGCTAATGCTAACAGATCTTTGTTTATTAATTATTTGCCAGTTAAACAACAACAAAAAAAAAGAAACACATATTGAGTCAATTATCGGCCCATAGTTTGGTGTGGTAGTAGCAGAGAATGGTCACAAACACACTATAAATGCTAACAGCTAACACGCTAACTTTTGGCAAACAACATTAGCATGCGAATGCTAACAGATTTTTGATTAAATTATTTGCTAATTAAGCACAAAATGAAATATATATGGAGTCAGGTATCGGACAAACAGTTTGGTGCAGTAGTAGCAGAGAATGGTCACAAACACACTATTAATGCTAACAGCTAACACTAACATTTGGCAAACTTAGCATTAGCATGCTAATGCTAACAGATCTTTGATTAAATTATTTGCCAAACAAACACAAAATGAAACACATATGGAGTCAATTATCGGTCCATAGTTCGGTGTGGTAGTAGCAGACTTTTGTAACAGACTTTTCAGTGCCACCCCACCCCACGTGGTCACCCCGTTAACAAAACTCTTGAAGCGCCACTGGAAGATGCACCTTGATGGAGGTACTGCTGTCGAAGCGAAAGGACTTCGTCTGCCCGTTTTCCAAGTACACCTTGAGGACATTAGGCATGAACAGGAGGGAGTTGTCCTTCACCGGGTTCTGCCGAAAACACATTGCAGAGTTTCAGTTCAATACGTGAAAGGATGTCTCATTTCTGTGATTGTCTTGTGTATTTTTTTATTCTCTGAACTCTGTCTTAAGTAGAAACCATCTGGCATTGCCTATATAGGTCATACATAAGCGTGTGTGTGTGTGTGTGTGTGTGTGTAGGACTGACTGGAACCTGGCCGTTTATAATGACCTCCTCAGCAAAGCGCACTTTGACCGGATTGGACTTGAGCATGGCTTTTTTGGCTGCGCTGATAAACGCTGATTTAGGAGACTGAAAGGCAGCCGTCCAAAAAGAGAGAGAGACAGCGAGAGAGATGGAGGGAGAGACAGGAAGAGGAGAGGCAGACAGCGGGAGGGAAGAAGACAACATGACTGAATGCAGACGTTAGTTTGCAATAAATAAAAAAAAATTTTAAAAAGCATCAACGTTTATTTCAACCACGACACATATCTGTCAACACGAGAACTTTCCAAATTTAGTGTAATGGCTGCAGTTTTTTTTTTTTTTAGTTTTTCCCCTTATGTCCAAAGATGGAATATTCCACAGCAATAAAAATAAAATAAAAAATTAAATGCGTTCAGACAAACTTTATTTTTGACTTTGAAAAGTCTAATAAAACATTCAATGTCAAGGTCTATTGAAAGTTGTCGTAAAATAATTTGCTCCTGCAAAGTAAAAAGAAATGGCGGTGCACCGATGTCCCCCGTCGCTGAGGGATTTGAAGAGTACATGTTTTGTAGTTTTGGAGATGAGTGTTTTTCTGGACTGGAACTGAACAGGGAATTTAAGTAAACCTAAATGTTTTTAGTGCAAGATATTCAAGTGGATAGGAGTTTTTGCTTGTACAAGGCAGCGCCGAGTGACAGATCCTCGCAGGTGGAGAGAACAAGTTTATCCACCACCAAGGGAAATGGCAGAGCCAGGGGGTGGCCAATGGTGGCCATGGTCACCATAGATTAATCTTCAGTGACCAAAAGGGTCACCCTGCTCAGTGGAGGAAACTATACCTTTTAGCAATATGGAAACTAGAACGCGTGTTTCCCCTAGATAACTTGCCATGGTGGGGCGCTCATCTCGTCCGTGATTTTTTTCGATTGGGGGCGGGAGACACACCTGAGCTGTGTGCTGTTTGGACTGGAACTATTCGAGGGGGAGCAGAGACACAGCTGAGGGGTTCAGTGTGAGGAAAGAGGCAGCCTGAGCACCGCCTTTAGCTTTTTAGCTAGTGCGCCGCTAGTTTAGTGTTTCGCCGGAGGGTGGTGGTGGTGGGGGTGTGTGGGGGGGGGGGGACAGGGACACAGCTGAGCTGCATGCTATTTGGATTGGCAGTTGGGGGGGTGGGGGGTTTAGAGCTGAGGGGTTCAGCATGAGGGAAGAGTCAGCCTGAGTGCCGCCTTTAGCTTTTTAGCTAGTGCGCCTGTATTGCGCGCCACTAGCTTAGTGTTTCACCAGGGGTAGAGGATGGGAACAGGGACACAACTGAGCTGCGTGCTATTTGGATTGTCAGTTTGAGTATGGGGGGGGGGGGTGTAGAGCTGAGGGGTTCCGTGTGAGGGAAGAATCGGCCTGAGCGCTGCCTTTAGCTTTTTAGCTAGTGCAACTGCATGCAGTTAGCTTAGTGTTTTGCCGGACACAGCTGAGCTACGTGCTGTTTGGACTGGCAGTTTTTGAGCGTTGGGGTGGGGGTGGGGGGTTAGAGCGGAGGGGTTCAGCATGAGGGAAGAGTGCTGAGTGCTGCCTTTAGCTAGTGCGCTTGTATTGAACACCGCTAGCTTAGCGTTACGCCGGGGAGGGGTGCACGAAGTTCGGTAATGGGGCAGGGCGCCCCGCCTGGATAATAGTAGGGGAAACACTGGCATGTCCTGATGCATGCTCAATAATCCAGGTAAGAAAAATCTAACAGAGTTAAGTCAGGTCCTCTGGACAGATTCAAAAATTATTTTAAAAAAAAAAGTTAAACTTAAAATTCAATACTTGTTGAAACATTTCATCTTTTATCCAGAAGACTTTGTCAGTCTGAGGAGCTGCAACAAACTCAGTCTTATAAACAGAACCTTCTCATAGTGGAACAACCAGTTTGTTGGTGACATTCAGAACTAGCTGTTCACATGATCAAGGAGGACCATCAGCCTAATGACCGATCGTTAGTGCCCCGATGGCCGCTTGTTACTCACAGGGGGCGGAGTGATACTAGCAATAACAGCATTGTAAGAGGGGGACAGTTGAACACAGAGGCTCCACCACTTTAATGATGGACGGTTTCTTTTCACAAAGATGGCCTCCTTTACTCCTCTCTCAAACCATCGTTCCTCTCTATCCAGGATGTGCACATCTTCATCCCTGAAATAGTGACCGCTGGCCTGGAGATGAGTGTAGACCGCAGAGTCCTGGCCTGACGAAGTTAGAAAGCTAGAAAGCATAGTTTCCTCGAACGATCAGGGGTAGCCGGTTTACACAGAGAAATATACGACGGTGGCCATCTTGGTTTTTGACGTGGCAACCCAATTTTTGGCAGGGATTTTTCTTACGCATAGATGCAGCCACACAACAAAATGGAAGTGGGTACCTCACTCGTTTTCCAACATATCATGCTCACAGCAGGGACAGACGAATGGACGATGGTTGTTTTTGAACACAGGGTTTACAGCACAAAACAAACCTTGTAAATAAAATAAACTTGATTGTCAAATTTGATTCCTGTTCGTGTCCCTAATCTTTTCCATTCCATCGAAGATTTTGTCTCGTACTACTCTAGAAGTTGGGTCGATGCTAAAATCTGCGGTATTTATTTGGTTTTAATAAGTTTTTTTTAAATAGATAAATATAATCAACATATCAGACACATTTGTTAAAATATAAAATTACTGATTATTAACATGGTGATAAAAAAATATACAAATCAACTTTTTGTTTCTAAACTGCAAAGAACGCTTCGTGTACTCACAGGATACGGCTGAACGACGGTCAACAGGATGGATTCCTTGCAGCTCCTGGAGCAAGCAGACAAGTCAAAGTCAACAAAATGGCAGGAAATCAACAACAACAAAAACAAAACGATTACCTCGGGTGATGCAGTTAAAACCAGAGGCGTTCATCACCGCGCTCATTAGATTTTCAATTTAATAAACGATTCCGGGAAATGCGATTCGCTCGTGACAAGCTTCGCTCATTTAAAGACGCGTCTTTACTGCGTTAACTACGAATAAAAGCAGACAAATGGAAATAATGGCGCCACACCTGGCAGAAGCCTAATTGCAACGATTATTACTCAAAATCTCACAGGAGCAATAGCAATTACAGATTTAATTAGATAATTTTGGTATTTAATGTATGTATTTATTTTGTGCTGTGATAACTGTAGAAGCTGCTGCTAAAAATGAATCAAACTGTTTTAAATGAACAATGAAACGTCACCTTGATTTTGTTTTTTTAAAGCAAATAAATTCAAAATAATCTCATAATGTCATGTATCGTGCGCTGTTGTCACGATTCTGTTTGGACATTTTGTGTACAGGATGTCTCGGTGCAGTCAGGGGGCGGAGGGAGTCCGGTTCGGTGACTTCAAGATTCCATCTTTGCTCTTTGCAGATGATGTGGTCCTGTTGGCGTCATCGTGCCGTGAACCTCAGCTCTGCCGGGTCAGAAGCGGCTGGGATGAGAATCTGAGGCCATGGTCTCCAGCTGGAATATCCCTCGTCGGGTTGGGACTGGGAGTGAGGTTCTGCCTCAAGTGGGGGAGTTCAAGTATCTTGGAGGTTTTCAAGAGTGAGGGAAAAATGGAGCGCGAGATCGACAGATGTATCTGTGCTGCTCCCAGAGTATTGCGGACTCTGTGCCGGTCCGTTGTGGTGAAGAGCGAGCTTTGCTGCAAGGAGAAGCTCTCCGTTTACTGGTCGGTCTACGTTCCTACCCTCACCTGCGGTCATGAACTCTGCGTAGGGGTGGAAACAGTAAGATTGTGGATGCAGGTGGTGGAAATGATTTTTCTCTGCAGGATAGCTGGACTCACCCTTAGAGATAGGGTGAGAAGTTCAGTAATCCAGAAGAGACTGACGTGCAAATTTATTATTCTCAATTTAGTCACACAGTCTCAATCATGTCTCAATTTGTTTGCAAATTTATTGTTTTTATTTTTTTGCTTTAGTCATTGACCATTTGGTTTCAGAAGTTCGCTCTCAAAGTAATTTCACATTTCTTGCAGTTTCAGACTCATGGAAACTAAATATAGGGAACACATTCCAAATGCCCACGATGACTAATTATTTTCGGAGAGAATTTGTTCAAAATATCCTTTACCATGAAAGTGAGGCCCTAAAAACATCATACACAGAAACAAAGCGAACCTTTCGAACACCTTTTAGAAATTGTACTGTGAATGTTGTTCATAAGTCCCCCCCACAACAGTGGCCGTGAGACACAAGCTTAAGAAAAGAGATTTTTTGGAAAGATGAATGAGCACTCAACAGCACTCAGCTAAGATTTTTTTTAAGTACATACATAAATTAAAGAAAAATAGAAGAAAGAAATATCTTGTTGTTATATTTGCAGAGGACATTGTGATCTGTGGTCAGAACAGGTGGAAGAGAACTTGGAGAGGTGGAGGTATGCATTTGAAAGAAGAGGATTGAAAGTCAACCGTAGTAAGACAGAGTACATGTGTGTGAATGAGAGGGAGGAGGTGGAACAGTGAGGCTACAAGGAGCAGAGGTCACAAAGGTGCAGGACTTTAAGTACTTGGGGTCCACTGTCCAGGAAAACAGGAAGTGTGGTAAAGAGGTGAAGAAGAGAGTCCAGGTAGGATGGAGTGGATGGAGAAAAGTTTCAGGAGTGATTTGCGACAAAAGTGTGTCAGCAAAGGTCAAAGGAAAAGTTTACAAGACAGTGGTGAGACCAGCTATGTTGTATGGTCTGGAGACAGAGACATGGACAAAAAGACAGGAGACAGAACCGGAAGTGGCAGAATTGAAGATGTTGAGGTTCTCCTTAGGCGTGACATGGACAAGATTAGGAATGAGATCATCAGAGGTACAGCACAGGTTGAACAACTGGGAGATGAAGTTATAGAGGCCAGACTGAGATGGTTTGGACATGTCCAGAGGAGGGACAGTGGGTATATTGGTAGAAGGATGTTAGAAATGCAGCTGTCAGGAAAAAGACAGAGATGTATGGATGCAGTTAGAGAGGACATGGAGGTAGTTGGAGGACAGAGTGAGATGGAGGTGGATGACTTGCTGTCAAAAGGACGGCCAAAAGAAGAAGAATATATCCCGTTGCCTCAGTTCTTAGTGTATCACAAAAACGACAGTAGGTAAAACTATCTGACGTCAAGAAACTTGAAACATTTATAGAATTTCTTGTAAGACAAATCCAATCAGGCATTTAACTGCAAAAGACCTAAAAAAATAAATAAATCAGGCAAACTCCAGATTGGAGCGCCATGTGACCGCACTGCAAAAATCCACTAGAAAGTACATCTTTGTAATAATAATAATAATAATAATAATAATAATAATGTGTTATGTGTTGTCATCATCGTATGTTTCCATACAATGGCAAAATTGGCATTTTACCCGTCCACCCCCAGGTGGAGCAGTGGGCAGCTATTGAAAGCTGCCCGGGGAGCAAATGGAGATAGGGTGTCCTGCTCAGAGACACCACGAGATGTGCAATGACCGGGGATCGAACCTGGGACTTTCGGGTCCCGAGTCGGCTGCCCTGCCTCTACCCCGTCTCTTTACAAGAACAACAACAAATAAAAAAGCAGCTTCATTAGTCTGTAAATAGACATCTCATCAAGCCTGAAGCCTTTTGGAAGCAGGCCTGTGTGGACTGTTGAAGTTGGAAAAAACAACTCTTGGATGCTCTGAGCGAAGATATATTTAGAAAAAACTAAAAAAAAAAGGACAGATTGCAATTACCGTACCAAGCACCACTCTGTTTAGCAAGAGGTCCAACATGCTTGTGTTGCAGCCAGCGGTAAAGAGATGATTTAAGAATAAATTAAACTGGTTACTCATAAAAATGTAGTTAATAGTTGCTACATAGCTGGGACTTTTTAAAAAATAATTCAATTTTTACCCTTCTTAGCATTTCGTGTGCACAAAAAGTCGGACAATGTTGCTTTTAAAAAGCTTCCCGTTTGTTTCTTTACGTGCTGATCGTTAGAGACATGCTGCCAATCCACCAGCTTGGGGACGTGAACCACCGCAGCAGTGTCCGCGAGGGTCGTGCATCTACCTGACGAGATCGATGACTCGTTCCCGGGGAGCCGAGCCGACGGCTTCGTCGTTGATCATGATGATCTCGTCGCCGGGCAGCAGCTTCCCCTCCGACGGACCACCTGAACGCACAAAAACATGTAAATGAGCCACAGTCGATTAGCGTGCCTCATTGGGAAGTGATTTTTAGTTTGTGAGCTGAAGATGAAATGTGAATAATTAAAGGCTGTAAGTGAACCATTTTGTAAATATCAGAGTGCTGGTGTAGATAAACGATGTGTTTATTTCTTGTAATGTGTAACGAGTGCAAGCGTCTATACCTGTTCCATTGGCCAAACACTCGAGACTGAATGTTCATTAGTTCAGCTGTGTGCTTAAAATTCAGCTCTGATTGATGACTGAGACATTTAAGGACTGTGTGTGTGTGTGTGTGTGTGTGTGTGTGTGTGTGTGTGTGTGTGTGTGTGCAGCCGATGGAGCTGACGGCTGAGAGTAGTGTGTAAAAGGCTTGGCAGCAATTTCTCTATCAACACATTTTCAGGGGGGGGAAAACTGGACCCCAAACATTTTGTTCATCTTCTTTCTCCCAAAAATGCAGCTGTTTGGCTCAAAACTCAACGTTTCGTGGTACGTGCATGTTTGTTCACCGACCTGGTGTGACTGACCGCACCACCACTGGCTTCTCGCTGCCCGCCACAAAACCAAAGCCCAAAACCGGATCCCGCCTCATCTCCACCAGGCGAGGGGCTGGGGGGATACCATCCAGATGGACCTCCTCCAGGGAGCTGCTCTGGGACCCCTGGCTGGAAAATCAGAGACATTTCCCTTTAACTCAGTGGTTCCCAACTATGGTCCCTGAGGAACACCATTCTGAATGTTTCAACTGTTTCCTCCTCCAACATACCTGATTCAGTGACTTATTTACTTCCCTCTGTTCTGCAGAAGCCTGTTAATCACCAAGTAAAACATGCAGGATGGCGTTCCACAAGGACCAGGTTGGGAACCACAGCTTTAACTTACCAACGATAACACATTAAAAAAAAAACATGCCCAAGTGCAAGCTATGGGAAGGTTAAATAATTCCTCTTTGTACAAATAGCTTTGTTTCATTTAGATACGATTAAAGTATCAATGTATGATTTGAGAAATTTCATCTGCTTTTCACATATCACAGCTCTGGCTCCGATAATGAAGCTTTAAATTAAGGACTGCCTTAATTGCGGCGTTTACGAAAAGCCTCAGATTTGTAATCTTGACCCAAACTGTCTCTTAAGGACATATAAAAATCTGCAGACTAGTCCAAACAAAAGTGCACTGATAACTTCATCACGTCACAGCAATTAATGTTCAAAGTGGAACAAACCTTTATATCTAATGTATATGTTCTCTTTAGAAGCCCATTGTTTGAAGTTGACTAGTTCATTATAGACATCTCCACTCCCCTGATAATATGGGACTGTCTCTTGTTGGAAAAGAGGTGATGATTTCATTCATCATGTACAGATAACAATAATTAAAGCTGCTGGCAAAGGTATTGGGTTCTCGTACCTCTGCACAAACTGGACTACAACAGAGTCGAAGGGTTTGTGGCTATTCAGGTTTGTATGCTTATTAAGCATTCACACTATTGTGATCCTGTTTATATTTATATTTTAAATGGTTCAAATCATATTTATTTCAAAGATTCCAGTTTGTAAATGTAAATGATCTTCATACACCAAAGTTAGTCATGGGAGTTCCTCAAGGTTCAGCGCTTGGACCTGTACTCTTTACCTTATTAAACATCATGGGATAAATTGTCATTGTTATGCTGATGATACACAGTTATACTTGTCCATAAAACCTTATTAATCCAATCAGCTACTTAGACTACAAACATGTCTTAAAGACTTAAAAACCTGGATGGCCCTTAATTTTCTGCTTTTAAACTAAGACAAGACGGAGGTTGTGGATTTTGGACTTGAACATCTTGCAAATAAATTTTGCAGCCTTTTACTTCCTCTGAATGGTATTAATTTGGTCTACATTTCTAATGTTAAAAACTTTGGTGCTATTTTTGATCAGGACATGTCTTTTAACCCCCACATTAAAAAAGTTACCAGAACCGCTTCCCTCCACCTGCAAGATTAGAAACATCTGATCTAAAAATGATGCAGAAAAACTGATTCATGCATTTGTCATGTCTAGACTGGACTATTGCAATGGTTTATTATCTGGGTGTCCAAATACTTCTGTAAAACGTCTTCAGTTGATCCAAAATGCTGCTGCCAGAGTCTTAACTGGAGTTAGTAGGAGAGACCATATTTCTCCAGTTTTAGCTTTGGCTCCCTGTCAAATCCAGAATTTAATTCAAAAATCTTACTTCTAACCTACAAAGCTCTCAACAACCTAGCTCCATCTTATATTACAGATCTTACTGTTCCATACTTTCCTAACAGAGTACTTCGCTCTCAGATTGCAGGTTTACTTGTGGTTCCTAGAGTTTCCAAAAGCAGAATGAGAGGAAGATCTTTCAGTTATCAGGCTCCTCTCTTGTGGAACCAACTTCCAGTTTCTGTCCATGAGGCTGACACATTATCCAGTTTAAGACTGGACTTAAGACTTTCCTTTTTGATAAATCCTATAGTTGGCTTGGGTTTACTCAGCTATCTCTTAGTTATGCTGCTATAGGCTTAGACTGCAAACAAAGACAAATTGCAGACAAATTGACCACATTTCCTCTCTATGATGCTGTCTTTACTTGATCTACTCAACCTGTTTGTATTTGTAATTATTTATATCTTATGTTTTGTTAATCTTTCCTCCTATAGAAAGTACACTGGGACCTGTCATTCTGTGTTCGTCTGTCTCTCCTTCCTGTCCTCTCAACCAACCGGTTGAAACAGATGGCTGCTTGTCCTGAGCCTGGTTGCTGGAGGTTTCTTCCTGTTAAAAGGGAGTTTTTCCTTTCCACCGTCTCCTTTGTGCTCACTCAGAATGGGAGACTGTGATGAAGTGAAGATTCAACACAGTCTGCTGCTTCCTTACATAGAGAACTTTTACTAATCAACTTTTTATATATATGTGAGTTTTTGTGCAGTGCCCTGAGACGACTTTTGTTGTGACTTGGCGCTATATAAATAAACTGAGTTTAATTTCATTTAATTAAAAACATCAAAGCTCCAAAAGCAATCATTAGGACAAATCCTCCAAATTGCAAATTTAACGTGTCTAAAGTTTTTCAACATTTGTTAATTTAAAATAGAAGCACTGACATTAACTGCTACTGGAATGGTAATACTTTGGATAAATGTACCTGATTTTGAATAAAATAGTGAGTTAACAAAAGTCAAAGTTTCTTTATTTGTCATACGCACCACATATGGTACATGTGGTGGAATGAAATTGTGTACACAGGGTCCTAGTTACGTCCAACAAACATGGATGCAAAAGCAAGCAAACATGGATACCTTGATAATTGTCTGTGCACAAAAATACTAACAGTTACCACTTTGAATCATCAAATAAATGCAAAGTTCAGAAGGTTGGGTACAACCTTTCCTCCATTTGTTTCCCCTACATAAAGTAATTAATTTTAAAACTCGTTTAAAAACATTTTTTCATTGGCTTTTAACCTCGAGTGAGTTAGCATCTCTGTCTTAATGTTGTATTCTTTTACTTGTGATGTTCTGATTATATATATATATATATATATATATATATAGTTGTTTTTATTGTTTTTACTGTTTTTTGTTTGTTTTTAATTTTGTACAGCACTTCGGACGGCTGCTTGTTGTATTTTAAGTGCTTTAGAAATAAATTGGTATAGTATGATATGGTATGGTACGGTATTTTATCTGGCCCCCAAGATGTTATTTTAAATGTAAAATACTTTTATCACTTTAAAAAAAAAATTGTAATTTTTTATTATGATGTCAGAAGTGCAACCGAGAACGTCAAATGAGACAAATCAAACTCTTGTTGAGGAACCTGCAACCAAGAAAAGATGTTGGTATCTAACGTGAATTAATGTAGATTCTGAGACCGGCCCTTAGTTTGAAAAAGTTTTTAATTTTGGCCCCCTTTGTAAGTGAGTTTGACCCCCAAAGTTTATACTGACTTGGCAGTACAGTCACATGTCAGCTATAAAGCAAGGTACCGAGTGCACATCCTTGAGGTCCTCCTGTGCTTAGTTTGGTAGCTGTTTCTCAGGATAAACCAGACTTGTTCTAAAGTCCCAAAACATGCATGAATGGCATTCTAAATTGACCTGTACAGAGAATATATCTGTTTTAGTCATTTGAGGAACTGTGGGCACATCCAGTGCCTCTGGCCTGGTGGCAGCTGGGATATACTCCAGTGTCCAATCACTATCCTGAACTGACAGAATAAATGAACGAATGAAGGACGTAATATAGTCTCAATACTACAAAACTCTGCATACTCCTTTATATTCAAACTCTTTTAAGTAACACAAGTTTGCTCTGAGTACTTTTGTTTTATTAAGGGCACCTTGATCTGTGTACATCTGAAGCCTTTGATTTTTCCAGTTACTGTATTGGAAAATTGTTAGACAAACTGTACTTGATGCATGGGCAGGGAAAGCAATCTAGACATTTAATGCTTACTGTATCTTTAGATGCATTTATTTTTTACATTCAATATGAGTGTCTTTTGTAAAACTCCCAAATAATTCAATAAACTTTCAATACACTTTCAAATTTTGTTTTTCTTTTCCATACTTCGTCATTGCACTTCCTGTTAGAGTGCCACTTAAATGTTAATGTATTATTAAATAACATCTATCTTACGGAGTCTCAGATGTCTGTCTGAGCAGAGACACTGAAAATAAAAATTCAGAGTGCCTGTGAGTTAACCAGTGATATACTGTACACTTTAAGTGAAGTGGATTAATTCTTCCTGTCTCTACAGTACTTGTTTCTTTTACAGCTTCAGAAATTCCCTTGGCAGACATTTCGTCCATTATGCAACACCGTCTGGTCAAAATAGACCATATAAATGTTCTTATGTGCAGAATTACAGTGTGAGTTTGGTGTTGTTCACAGAATTATTGTCTGTATTTTCTTAGGTGAAATTATGGAACAAAGTATGACCAATGGCAATTTGAGCAAGAATAGATTTTTGGAAAAATATGCAATATTTCTTATATTATGGTCAAACAAGTCCCAGACAATATAAATGTAACCTTATTTCTCAGTTTTCCCACATTTTTTGTCAAGAAAATTGTCTTTTTCTGTCCCATTGTCACATCGGGCAGTGTAGCAAATATAAGTCAACCATTGATGTTAATGTGTTCAAACATAAGCAACACTGGTTACTTTAAATTGGCATCATTATAACTGTTCTTATTGCGTGATGACAAAGGATTTAGAGACACCATGAGTTAAAATAGATTTCATACAGTCCAGAACAAAACAGAGGAAGTTTTATAATGCGCGTTAAATGAGTTCAGAAGTGGGATCAATGTCAGACAAGGTTAACTAATGAATGAACATCCATCTTGTAAACGTATGTAATCAAGTCAAGACCACCAAGTACATGGTGGTTATTACCTACTGCCAAAGGAAAACAGGCTATAATGTTTTTTCCCAAACACAAGAATGGCTTTAACCAATTGTACAGGTATTTAGCTTGGTATAGTAGTAATTAAGCATCATCCCCAACAAATACTCCAAGCGTTGTACTTTGTGCAAGATCTTTGACTAAAACTTCCTAATTCAAGATGGCCACCACAGATAGTTGATCTTAGCAAACACAAAAAAGAAAAACATACGTCAATGTCCCCTTCACTGAGGGATTTGAATAGTGAATGTTTTGTAGTTTTTGACATTTTTCAGGACTGGAATTGAACAGGGAGTGCATGTAAACCTTAATGTTTTTGGTGCAAGATATTGAACTAGGTAGGAGTTCACTGTTTAGAAGAACAGAGGTAGGCTATTTCATTTTATTTATTTATTTCTTGTCCGATGCAGTGCAGCGGGACAGATCCTAGGGAGTAGAGGAAGTAAAAATATCCCCCTTCGGGTGCAATGGTAGAACCAAAGGGTGGCCAATGGTGGCCTTGGCCACCATAGATTAATCTTTGGCCACCATAATAATTGAGAAAACTATACAGTTCAACCAGTTCAACAATAGAAAAACTAGAAAGCCTAGTTTTTTCAAATGATTGGGGTGGCCGGTTTGCATACAAACATACATAGTGACGTAGCTCTATGCTAAATGCACACAATACAGACGCACTAGCTAAGAAGTTAGACATAGCGCTGCGCTTCTCTCACGCATCATCCCCGAAGACGAGCGCTCTGCCAAGGTGCGGCAACACACCAAAATGAAAGTCAGCATCTCACTTATTTTTCAACTTATCCAGCTCATAAGATGAACCAGACGAATGGACCGTAGGTATTTCAAAGTCCACTCTTTGCTCCTCGACAGGAAACAAAAAGCTTGTTATATTTACAGATACTGAGCTAAAGTTTATTGCTGTCGTAGCTAAGAGTAACCATCAATACATATTTCACTGTGCATAACATTTACAAGGTTTGACTCAAATACTATAACTCTGTCCTTTCTCATTTGTAAAAACATAATCCAATATGCCAAAGTTCATGCTCAATAATCCAGGTATGAAATCCAACAATGTTCAGTCAAGTCTTCTGGGCAGTTTCGTTTTTTTTTTTTCTGAAACCTTTCGTCCTTCATCCAAAGGACTTTTTTAATCTGAGGAGCCACCAAAACACTAATTTCTGTCTCAGAGGAGTTGACGAGGGAGCGGGCGGACCCTGGAGGCCATTTTAGCACCATCAAATTGTTTTTTTCCTCACTATGGAGTATGCTGTTTGTGGGAATCCGTTTGTTTTGGTGGCTCCTCAGAATGAAGAGGTCCTTTGGATGAAGGATGAAACGTCTCAGCAAAAAAAAAAAAAAAAAACATCCAGATGACCTGACTGAACATTGTTGGATACGCCAATATGAAATGCAGAAGCAAGTTCACATTATTTCAAGAAATGCTTCCCCACTCCCCTTTTCTTACTTGTCCCGCATTTAAAATGCAGCCTTTATCTTGAAAGTAGGACCAGGACAACCTAAAACTCTTGCAACAACTTTCACAGCCTGGAAGCTTGTCACATTAACTACAACTCTTTGCAGATTGTGTTTCTTGGAATTACAATGGCAGTAAAATAATGGCACACATCAAACTGACATATTGCATAAAAAGGAAGAATTAGGCTTAAAGATGATGAGATAAGTGGGGGTAAGGGGGTTCCAGAGAAATCGGTTATCACTTACAGAGAGCCTCTTTCGAAGCATCTTAATGGATTTGAACTCTTTGTGCCTAAGTTCTGCGTGCCAGCATCTCATTTCCAATCCAATTTGAACATTTGCCTGTTTGTATGCAAAGATTTGCTTTGGCGTGACAAATTTACAGAGACATAGTGCTTAAATGTAATGGCTGTATTTTGTGCATGAGTGGTGCGACTGAGAAAATATTGGCTCCTCATTTAATCATAGCTGGTGATTGAACTTAAACGGTGGCTTTAATGCAATTTCATGGTTACAGTTCTGTGTGGCTGCTTTACTATGTTTCTTTGTTTCAAGGTGGCTGCATGTTGGAGCAGCTCTGTTACTTTCATTCTGAGATTTTGCTTTTGGAAACTTTAATTCCTCTTTTTCTGGATGTAAATCACATTTTTTTGGATGTCTGTTTCCTCTGGTATCAGATGCTGTGCAGCTGGAAGGATTTTTACTGAAACTTTTTTAGTTTTGGACATTTGTTATGATGCGTAACCATGGCAACGAGGCAGTTTTCTACCACCAACAGCAGCTGATTAATATCTCAAAAGCTCAAATAATATCTCAACTACAGCCCCAAATCTCAAATGAGTTGAGAAGGATGTTCTGTGGATGCATTCTCATCTGCCTGCCAGCTGTGCTCGAGTGCCTGACCACTCAGATCCTGGAACTGGTGGGAGACACGGCTCGTGACAGCAGAAGGACAGGATCGTCCCTCAGCACCTACAGGGTGCAATGATGCCCCAAATCCCACGTGAGTTGAAAAGGAGGTGCCGTGGACAAATTCCCGTCAACCTGGCGGCGGTGCTCGAGACCTCACCACCGAGATCCGGGAGCTGGTGAGAAACTCGGCTCGTGTGGAGCTCTGCAGACTGCTAGGAGGAGTGACCATCACTCAGGGAGGAATTCTGTCTGGCATTCGGGCAATCCTGCTGCCCAGGAGGACCGAGAGGCCCGCCGGATCTGACAACAAGATGGATCTGGGTGGACGGATTCGTATCTGTGGCCAGATTCTTCAGCTTCACTGCAGGAGATCCTTCTTGCCCACAGCTATCAGCATCTATAACAGCTCTTGAATGAAACCAGGATGATGAGCTATGACAACACTTCATTTCCCTCTGGGATTAATAAAGTATTTTTGAATTGAATTGAATTTTTGTACATGCAAAAGATCTATTGAGCTGCAAATAGATCTTGAAGAGATACGGTGAACCTATGACTTCTAAGATACATTGACATTGTTTTAAAGGGACCCTTCCCCTGCTCAACAAAGTCCTCAGATGTAAGAGATTTGCTTCCTTTGCCACCAATCATCAAATTTGTAGCTTGTAGATGTGCATGTGCTTGCATTCATACCATTTACGAGTCATCTGTGTCTGGGTAGCAATAATATTGCATGTTTGTCAACTGTTTATTCAAAAGAAAATTGTTGCGAGTGATTTCTCAGTAGGATTTTGACCCAGTTTTTGTGTCCTTGTGGCCCCTGGGTGTGACACTGTCTGCATGTGGTAAAGAGCAATTTACTCACATCAGAACAAGTGTACATGCTGGGGTTTTTTTGTACTCAAAGCTAAAGGCGGTCCAACGAAATATTAGTGACTTTTTTTTTGGTAGCAACTGTTTTTTTGGCCAGGCAGTGCATGTTGAGAACAGGGAACAGGTGGAAGAGAACTTGGAGAGGTGGCGGGATGCACTTTAAAGAAAAGGAATGAAAATCAGCCGTAGCAAGACTGAGGAAGACCAAAGAGAAGATATACACAGATAGATGTAGCTAGAGAGGACACAGAGGTGACATGTAGGATTACTCGCTGTGGCGACACCTGAAGAGGGAACAGCAAGAAGAAGGAGAAGACGAAGAAGAAGCTATGGGTTGTCAATGCGGCTGTTGTTTTTATTTAATTTTTGTTCCAGTTTTGTCTTTGGAGCTCCTTTTGAGTAGGAAGTATACAATCACATTTTGATGCTTATAGGTCATAGATTCCAGGGCTGCATACTGGACCTGGTAAATGCTTGTGGACTGGTACAGATGGGAAAAAAAGGCTTCTTATATGGCACAATAAATAGGAGAATACAATGTGTTACAAACAAGACAAAATTGTAGCCATTTCGGTCAAACTTTGAAAATAACTATTTGCAATGTCATGCAATATAGTGAGACATCACCCCTAGAGAATGTGGGGCTACGTCTACATCAAACTTAAGCTCAATATCAGTAGAAAGTGCTGCAACAATTTAGGCCCCGAGAATAATCATTTAAATATTTGACATCAGTGCAAATTAAGCTCTTGCAAGAATAAGCAACTGCAAAGCATGACTATGATCAGAAATACCTGGTAAGGAAGTCCCGGGCATCCCTCGTATTGTTCATGCTGTCCCAACTGTACTGGGACCCCTGCAGCCCTCCCCAGGAACCTGGGCCAGGTGGCGGCCAGCCGGATGTTTTATTTCTATGGCTAACACAGAAAAGAAAAGAATGCATTTTAGAAACTAATGCCTTAATAAATGTGCTTGAGTGAGGTCAATGTTTAGACAAAAGGGGATCAGAATCTTAAATAAAGATGGCATTAAACAAGCAAGATGGATCACTACACTGATTTTCAAGCCCAAAATTACCCAATTTACTAATCCATCTGTGAAAACAAGCATGGGAAGACTGGATTACATGGAATTTGTTTCACAGGGGCAATAGTGTCAGCTTTACCGTGAGGTGTTTGTACTCCTGAATCCCCCTACTTCAGATAAAGGTACATGGAGACACACTTAGTGCACCACTGGTTAGAATCCTCTCTGTCCAATTAGTGCGACTTTGAGTCGCTCAGTACGATGTAGCTTTGCTTAGTGCGATCGAATGAATTCAAATAACAGCCCATTGATTCCGTAGCTGGACGATCGATGGCTTGTGAGCAGCGCCATGCAAAAAATTGCACTGTGAAGCACCGATGTGACAGCTGACTCGCTTATTGCAGATTACACTAACAGTGTCAGGGCCCATTTCGGGATGGGGAAAACGGATCAAGACAGGTCAAGGAAGTGTTCTCATCTTAGTAGAAATTTCCAAAAATCACAGCGTAACCATGTTGAGTCAAATAAAAAGTTGATGCACATTATTTCAATTAGAAAAACAAGGTATAGGTTGTACAGTTATAATATCTGGAGCCTCATTTATATAAGAGCAAAAACAATTATAATAGTCAAAAATCCATACTATAAAAGGACGTCGTTGCCATAACAATCCAGCCGATTAATCCCTTCGTGGTGCTGTTCATGGGGTGGATGCATCATTCCATCATGCCATACCTCAAAGTATATAAGATTAAATTGTCAGTATACGGACAATAAAACTGTCCTTGGATATCAAGCCTGATCAGAGTCGGACAAAAAGAAGAACATTTCCACGCTTCCATTAACGAGAAACTGTGAAAAGCAATTCATTTCCAACGAACTAGAATAACCAGTTGACGTTCAGGCTATCCTTAAACGCAGCAAAAGCCCTCCACCACAGCTGGGTTCCTTTCCGTTCTTATGCAATCCATGGTATTTACTTTAAAGCTTCTGTTTTGGCAGGAATTAAGTCCTCCAAAATAGAAAAAAATTAAAAACATACTGCAACTCCCGATTCCCAGTTGGAGGCTCTGGTAGGTCTAAATACAGCGGTGGTGGTGTTACCGGCGGTGCAGATCCCCTGTGTGCAGCCAGACATTCATCTGTATTTGTCATTGTGCTGCTGCTGGGAGAAGCTTTGCTCCCAAACTGAACTAAACTGTGGTGGCCTTGCCTCCTTTATCCCATAATCCCTCTCATCACAGAGGAAACAAATCCATGCCGTGTGCGAGTAGTTTTCTCTGTGTGTGCAGCTGTATTTATACGTTTACACATTCACTTTTATTTATCCTTCAAAAAAAAAAGGGTGTATGTTTTTCCATAAAGCATAAGGAAATTAATTATAGTAAAAGTTACGCTGGGGTCAAAATGTCCCCAACATACCTAAATCTGTCTTTGCAGGAACACAAGTATCTATAAATAACAGAACAGTGAAAGGTTCTGACCCTGAACAATGGGAATAAATAGTGTAAATGTTGCGGAAGATGTCACATAGGTAAGTGAATTTCAGTGTAAGAGACAAGGTATGAAACATGACCAGAGAAATTTGGAAAATAAAACGGGAAGTAGACGGAGCAAATCAGAAAGGACAAATATTCCGCAACAAAACTAAAAATATGCTGATGAAAAACTATTACACAGCAATCCATAGCAATGGTTCAGACAAGCAAAAACCTTGTGCAACTTTTTACATTGATTTTTGACCTTGACCTGAGAGCTGGTGGGATGAAAAGATGACCTGACAGTGGCACAAATGTGCATCAAGTTTCCTTAAATCACCTTGAGCTGATCTAAAGTTATGGACAGGTTGATTAAAAAAAACATTGTTTTAACTTTGACCTTGATTTTTTACCTTGATCTGTGAGCGGGGGTGATTAAAAGATTACCTGACATGTAGTGGTGGCACAAATGTGCATAAAGTTT